ACACAGACTCAGCCTCATGCCCTTGCAGCCTGTGTGCGGGCTGCCCCTACAGACATCGGAACTAGTCTGCAGTGGTGCTCTCAGGTGACAAGGACGGCAGGGCGGCTGCTGTCAGGAAGCAGTCAGGAGGTCGCCGTGCAGACACTGGCGCCCCTCCTGATCCCATTTTCTTGGCATTCAGCATAGTTTTTCTCTTCCTGCTTGCTCAGCCACGGCCCCCACTCTGTGTTTAGGGTGCGGTCCTTCCCCTTCCCTGTCACCTGCCTTGCTCTTCACTCATCCGTTCAGGAGGCGTCACTGGAACGGACACTCCATGTCAGGCTCCGAGGGAAACAAGGTGATAATAACAGCAAATTTGTGGAACACCCATTGTGTGCCCACACTCGACACACGTTGATTTTATTCCCCAAAGCAACCCCATGGGTAGGGTTTGCGATTTTTGTCTTATGAAAGAGCAAGGACAGGGCAGAGAGAATTTGTAACTAGACCAGGGTCACACAGGAGAGGAGGAGGGATGTGACACCCAGGGCACTCCGTCTCCAAGGCCCATCACCTCCCACTGCACCACGGTGTCCCTCAAGCAGCCTCTCCCCGGCGGCGCTTGCAGGGTGGGGATGGCAGAGGTGCAGACAGGACACCCCTGCCAAGAGTGAAAGTGCCCTACAAGAGACTGATACTGTTATGGTTCGGGTAAATGCTCAGCTGCTGTCTCTCGATGCCAATAAACCGAGAGGCAGGGGATGGGCAGAAAGAAGTTTATTTCTGAATTCAGAATTCGGGGAGCTAGAACCTGTTCCTGGCATTTCTGGGACCCGTTGGCTCACCCTGCGGGTCTCCTAGTCCATTTGTGTAAGTCTAGGGTTGCTGGTGCCCATACGTTGACTATGTGGTGGACAGAGCATCATACGGAGTTCAAGTTACAGCTGCATTTTGTTAATAGGAGCATTTAGGGTCCACATTTCCTGGCACTGGCTACCAAAATGTAGCTCACGGTGTTACCAGTAACACCAAACTGAAGGGCTGAATACGCTGGCCGTAGAGTAAGGGAGTTGACACAGCCAATGACCAAGTAAAACATCACTCACGGTGACGTCTTGTGGATTAGTAGTCCCAGCATACGAAAAGCTATATTACAAGGGCGAGGGTTGCATGGATGCTGCCTTTTCAAATCTGTGTCTGACCTGTGCTAGCTCCCCTGCCTCGATGCAGGTGCAGAAGTGGCCCAGAGGAGCGTGCCAGTGACTGACCAGGAAGGCAACGGGGGTGGCCTCCGGAGAGCGTGACTGCCACGCAGGTCCTCCGAAAGAATGTTCTGGGCAGACAATGAGGGGGCAGGGTGTTCTGGGCAGAAGAGGCAGCCTGTGCAGGGCACAGAGGCGAGTCCGTCGTGGTAGGAGGGGAAGGGGGACCTTCTCCGGGGCAGCCGCAGGGAGCGATGGAAGAGGGCGGCTCGGGGAAGCAGAGATTGAGGGCAGAGGCTCAGGTGGGGAGGCTGGTGTGGTGGAGGCTGGTGCCGACCAGCTCTGCTGGCAGGGGTGGGACAGCACAGGCTCGTGTGTAGGAGGGTGGCCTGGTCATCTTGGAGGACGTAGGCTGGGGGCAAGGAGCGCAAGCAACACAAGCTCTCCTCATGAGGAAGGTGGATCCGGTACTGATCAGACAGTTGGAAACAGGAGGGGTTCCGGATTGTGAGGCCACGGGGCATCTGCTAGGGGACTTTTCAAGTGTTGTCTGGTGCCCCCAGAGCCGTGTTTTGGGGGTGGGGAGTGTATCTGGGGAGGGACTTCAGGAAGCGCCACTTTCCCTGCTGGGGTGTGGGATAGGGAGGTGGCAGTGAGGTTCCTCCATGACCCAACGTCAGCTGGGCCGCCACCCATTGGGCACCCCGGGGGGCGGGCGGGACACTGCCAGGGTCTGTGAGGACACGGGAGGCCTCCATTGACTTTGCTTCATCAAGAGCAGAAATTAACTGCACACACCGTCCAAGGAAGCCCACAGGCAGGGAGGCGAGGCGCTGGGCGTGGGAAGCTGCCTGTGTGCCGGAGAGATGCAGCACGTAGCCCCCGCCACAGTCACACAGGAGCCAGGAGCTGCAAGTTAGAGTTGCAAGTTCTCTTGGCTGAGCAGGCACAGGGGCCATCTGGGCTTTTTGCCACCATATCCCCAGCCCCACGTCCCGTGCCTGGTACCTTCTGGGCTCCTAGAACTATTGGTCTTCCCACCCCATTCTCCATGACCGTGTGGACGGGAACCTCACCTCCTTGCAAACACTCAAGGCACCGATGGCCTGCTCTCATGTCTTCCAACCAGAGGAGAATCAGGGAAGACTTCCTGGAGGAAGTGGTGTCTGAGTGGAGCTTGAAGAATGAAGGGGGTAGCCAGGTGCAGAAAGGTGAAAAGCACATTCCAGACTGAGGAAAGAGCCTACTGTGCTGACTGATGTCTCTTGCTTTCCCCGAGTGCCAGGATGTGGGAGGCGACTCTCTGTCTTCAGCTCGCTGGCTGGAGCACCCCTCCCTCCTCAGGTACCTGAAACACCCCATCGATGGGGTCTCTCGGGACTCCAGATCAGCCTTCCCTGTCTGCTGTTTTCAAAAGGATATTTGTGATTCCTCGGCCAGAAAGGGTACACGTGGGACCGGGGGGACCCCAGACCAAAGTTCCGACAGAGCCACCGTTAGGAGTGATCACAAACAGAGTGAGGCGTTGTGGGGGGACGGACTTGCTGGGCAACTCGGGAAATGGAAGTGCGGCCCCCTTGGGCTGGGGTCCTGCAGGGCTGTCCTGCACTGAGGAGGGACAAGAAGGAGCGAGGGTGTGGGAGGGCACTGTCCGGTCACTGGCAGTTCGATAATTGGAGCAGAATTACTCAGGGGAGCTGTCAGGACACAGTGCCCTCCCCACCCCTGCAAAGTCTCTGCAAGCCCAGCGGGCGCTCTGGAGTAACTTACGCATTGCAGGAGTTTTCTGTTGGGCAGAAATGGCTGGGCCGTGTACCACCTCCTTCCTCAGTGGTGGGCGAGGGGCTGATCTGAGAACAGCATTACCTGTGATTCAAAGTTGTGGTGGATTTGCAAAACGAAGAGCTGCAGGCTGCTGGCTAACCATGCCCTTCACAGCCAAGCAGCAAGTCCTTTCCTGAAGGGGGTCTTAGCTGTGCATCTCCACATCTGCCATGCTCGTCACACAAGATACTCCTCCTCATCCAGGCACAGGAATCTTGCAGAAAGGGAAGTGAAACAAGTCGAAACAAACAGACGGCAGGAAAGCTAAGTTGGTACTTTAAAAGAATATCAGAAATTTTAGGAAGAAGAATATAAATTTTTATTCCAGAAAATTCTGTTGAGCATTGAATTTGGCTAAGAACATTCTGGCAGCCAAGGTTTTTGCAGGGGAACTAGGTTATAAAGCCACTTTTTTTAATTTCAATTTTTTCTCAGAGTCTACATTGGCATGGAGATTTTATAGTAGAAAATATGTATATCAAGGAGGAGAGAAATATTTTCTCACTCCAAAACTCTAGAATGATTTTATCACATGGCTATTGCATTTTGAACTTTGAGGAAATAGTAGAAACACTGTAGTTTATTGATGACACAGAAACATTACTCACTCAGCTAATTCTCTCATTTACCTTTAATAAATGCTGGGAGAATCATTAAATCATTGCTCACAAGAGAACTCCCAAGCAGTTCTTGTTACCCAGCCGGAAATGAAACTACAAAGCCTTCAATTCAGAGGACGCTTAACAGCTTCGGGGTTTTGTTCCTGCTTAGGAAGAGGATTTCGGCAGGCTTTCTGGTGCAGAGCCCTGTTTTTAAGGCTGCTGCCTGCTGTGTACGGAATGGACTACCCAGAGGAGCCATTGCAATAGCCCCTTTCCCTGTAGGAGGAAGAAATATCAGAGCACTAAATATTTAAACCCAGGTTCTAAAGCATATTCCATGGCCTGATTGTTATGATTTCAGGGATCTAATCCGTCAGCCCACCTTCAGGCATGCATCTGAGGGGGTTTGTGGTGAAAAATGGCAGATTTTCTACGGCTGGAAATTTGCAGTGTTCAACATGAACGAAACATGATCATGAGAGGGAGTTTGAATCCTGGGAAAACTCATATTCATGCTAGTTTGTGTATGTCTCAGAGGGTCACCTGGAAACGGACGTGAGGCCATTTAGTCCAACTTACTGAAGTGATGGAGCCAACTCTGGCATACTCTGGCCAAGTGACAATCTGATTTGTCCCCCATCCGGTCACTTGCCCTGAGGATAAACTCACAGGGCCAGGAAAATAGGAGGCACTCAGTGAATGTTCCTCAGAAGAGCGCTCCGGTTTGGGAAGCTCCGAGATCATGTGTTTATTACTAGGCTGTGGAGGCAGGAATGCTTACAGAAGACCATCCTATGGTAGAGACGGAGTTGAACCCTGGGCATGCTCTGCTTTGCTGTGGGGGCAGCCAAGAGACCCAGATTCTTTTTCAGCCAGCTGGGTGACCCTGGGCAAGTCATGGCATTTCTGTGGGCCTCTGTTTTTCTATTTTTAAACAAGGGCTTTGAGTAGGGTACCTTGACACAGGACTGTAATCCCAGCACTTTCGAGGCCAAAGCAGGATTACTTGAAAACACGAGTTTGAGACCAGCCTGGGCAACATAGCAAGGCCTTGTTTCTACAAAAAAATTATAAAATTAGCCAGGCATGGTAGTAATCCCAGTTACTTGAAAGGCTGAGGCAGGAGCATTGCTTGAGCCTAGGAAGTTGAGGCTTCAGTAAGCCGTGATTGCACCTTCACTCCAGTCTGAGCTATGGAGACAGGTGCTGTCTCAAAAATAAAAAATGTGGGGCAGGCAGGGAGCTTTGGACTCCATGGTCTCAAAGGCCTCTGCCCATCTTAGGCCACTGACAAGGTTTGTAACTGGGAAGTGGGACCCATTCTTGTTGGCCCAGCGTTAGACACAGTGAATCCCTAACCCCTACTGAAAGTCCATGCATGTCCTGTTTGCAGCTTTCCAGACATTCTTGGGCAAAGCAGACGTCTCCCGAGAGGTGGAGGAGGTCCTGGCCGAGAGTCGTGTGCAGAGGAACATCCGCCTGGTGTCCGTCCTGGAGCTCCTGAGAGCCCCCTTCGTCCGCTGGCAGGTCATCACCGTGATCATCACCATGGCCTGCTACCAGCTCTGCGGCCTCAATGCGGTGAGTGCTGGGCACCAGCGGGCATCCCTGCAGACCTGGAGCAACAGAAGGTGGGAGGGCTCAGGGCTTGGAGCTGGATGCCTAGGTTCAAATCCCTGCTCTGTCGTCTCCACATGGTCTGTGCCTTTGGGCAGCCGTGTAACTTGGCTAATCCTCAGTTTCCTCACCTGTGAAATGGGGTGGAAACCACACAACATGGAAAGAGTTATCCAGGAGAAGTGTTCAGGTCAGCCTCTAGCTCGAAGATGCCCCTTAAGAAATGCTGTCTACCACTACAGTTATTTAGCCCTAGAAATACCTAAAACTCACATTTATTTTAAAAACATGAATATTGGTAAGTCAAAAGTAAGAGACATCGAGATGAGTCAAATAAAAGTTCTTTTGGCTGGATTCTCTTCAACTTGCAACGTTGGCTTGAGAATACCTCAGGGTTTTAAGTAAAAAATATCTTGAGGCCTGAGTAGATGTGGGCAGGGAAGTCTGAGGAGGTCTGTCTGCGAGGTTTTCGGATGCTCTGATGGACATAGCAGTCTCTTCTCTCTAAGGGTTTCCGAAGTTGGAACATCTGGATTTGAGACGCAGGGAGGCATCTTTGTATTTGTCATTATTGTTGCTTCTAAAAACTATGTGGGTTGCCTTCCACTTAGGGGTGGTGAGCTCCCCTTCTATGGAGATATGCAAACAGGCTGGCCAACCACTCAGCAGGGTTGTGTAGAGGAGATTCTTGCATGAGGACTTCAAACTGCCTCTGAGGTCGCTGGTGTCACTCTGGAGGAGTGTGGCTGAGGCCAGAGGGAGGGAGGGGGTAGCTACCAAGGGCTCCTCCAAAGAGCCCCAGAAGGAGAGCCTGGCATTTATGCCAAGTGGGCATGAGCCCAGCGCCCCTAAAAATTGGCAGAGAGGATGTTTGGGTGTGTCCAGGGCGAAGTGAAAGGGAGTGGTTCCTATCCTGAGAAGGGAAAGTGGCTGCACAGAAAGTTACAACCACAGGGCCCAGCCTGCCTCCCACAGCTCTCAAACCTGCTTACAGAAATGCTGGGATGACGTGGCATCTCCACGGTCCTTGTTTGTTTTTTCCCCTTTCCTTGGTCTGGCTAAAGTCAGCAGGTGATGAGGCACCTGGGTCCACTCTACCTACATGTGCAGAGTGGCTTTGGGCACGTCCTGCTGTTCCTCCTCTTGGTAAGACCCACATCATGCCAGATGGCTAGTCTCAAGGTCACCCTCCTTGTTCTGTGAGAGTGAAGAGGGGGACTGTCTGGCTTCTTAAAGCTCACACATGGCCTCCTAAAGCCCAAGTATCGAGTCTGTATTGAATGAGGGGTTTTGATAGAGAGCCATGACTTTTCTATACAGATCTCTCTCCTTCAAGGGGACATAATTTCCCATTTGCATACCCTGTATAACTTCATAAATTCCACTCGGGTGTATCTGCAAGCTCCACTACATAAATGTACGATGGGGGTAGGGGGAGCTTATCTCATCGGCTTCCAAAGCCAGCAAGAGTGAGGTTTCGGCCTCAGCGTGGCCTACCCTCCTCGTGTTGATCACCTTCTGTCTTTAAGTTGGGAGTAATCCGTCCAGCTGAGCGTACTTGACTAGACAATGCAGAGCTCTGGACCAGGAGCTGGAGGCCTGGCTGCCCATCTCAGAGGGCCCCGAACCCACAGTGGGAAGCCTGAGTCAGCTGCTTCTTGCTCCCATGGCCCAGCCTCGGCCCACTCGGCTGTAACGACAGTCAAGGACAAGCTAGCACTGGGAGCTATCCCCATCACAGCCCTGTGCGCTAGGCCCCACTGTTAGGCACAGAGCAGTAGAGACACTCTTTCAAGGTCACATCTTGAAAGAAGAATAGTAGAAAGGGGATTTGAGCCCCAGCTGTCTGGCCCCAAGGTCCCCCTCAGAACATCCCCATGCATGTCTCTCAGGCTGTGTTCCGGGTTGCCCTAGGCAGCCACCCAGACAAGTCCTACTTCTTCTGTTTTATGTACAGAGGATTGCTGGTTGGTAGCAAACGTCAGCATCATAGCTTGACTGTCCCGTGCTTCAGTCCTTCCCTGTACCTGCTGCCTCACAATCCAAGTCCATAAGACCAAGAAAGAGAGCTAACATGGGTCAAAAGCTAGCACTGCCCTTTAAAACTTGCTTGGGGCTGGGTGCAGTGGCTCATACCTGTAATTCCACACTTTGGGAGGCTGAGGCAGGAGGATTTGAGGCCCAGCGTTCAAGACCAGCGTGAGCTACATAGTGAGACCCCCAACTCTACAAAAACAACAAAAAAAACAATTTTAAAAAACTATCCTGGCATGGGGCCATGCACCTGCAGTTCCAGCTACTCAGGGGGCTGAGCCAAGAGGATCTCTTGAGACCAGGAGCTTGAGGGCAGCCTGGGCAACATAACAAGACCCAATCTCTACCAAAAAATAAAAAGATAACCAGATGAGGTGGCACGCACCTGTACTCCCAGCTACTTGGGAGACTGAGGTGGGAGAATCCCTTGAGCCTAAGAGTTGGAGGCTGCAGTGAGCTATGATCACTGCACTCCAGTCTGGACAACAGAGTAAGACCCTGACTCAAAAAGAATTTTTTTCTTTGTCCTTTTAGTTTTACCAGATATTATATAGCAGACATGGTCTGTCACTTGAGACATTTGTAAATTCTGCCAGGCACCTCCCTAGAAGTCACTTAATTCAAGCCCCCTCATTTGGTACCATCCTCATTTTCTAGATGGAAGAATCTGTGACTTGTATAGGGTCAAAGACTTGTCCAAGGCCCCAAAGGTGCCACCTGGGCTGGCATATCCTGGCAGCAGGTGCACTCCCTGGACGGCCCGCCCGGGACTTGGTAACCAGTGTTTCTTAGCCTCACAACCGTCCACGTTTTGAACTGGAAAATTCATCGTCCTGGGGTGGTGTGCTGTGCACTGTGGGGTGTTCAGCAGCCTCCCCCACAGGCTGTCAATAGTGCCACCTGCCTCATGGCATGACAACCAAAAATGACACCAGACTCTCCTAAGCATCCCTTCGAAAGGACAAGAGACAAGGAGTCCTTGGGCTGAAAATTGGACCAATGCTGATTGTCAAACCCAGGGCAGGAAAGCTTTAGTTTTCTTGGTCCCTCTGGGATCTTCCGGAATGCCAAGGGTTAGGGTTGTACTTTTATCTCCTTGGGTTGTCCTTCCTTCCCCGAGAACCACTGCGTTAGGCAAACATCACAACCTGACCGTCCCGTGCTTCATTACTCAGCACATTTATGCTGAAGAATCAACAAATGGTTTTCACAAACTTTAGAAATCAGCCAAAGTTGCATTGAACGACTTTTATTTATTTATTTCTGAATTACTTTTCAGTGTCGGATTTTATTTTCCTCCTGTCTCTCTCACAATAATTTTCAAATTCTCTTCTCTAAAATTAGACCGGTCCCTTAAAATTACTTATTTTAGGCAGCTGCCTTCCTCGCAAGCGGTTTGTCCTCGGCATGAAAACCAGGCTTTGGTGCTCAGTCTCCCACCAGTGGGCAGGAACCTCTTGGTTGCTGGGCTCATCCCTGGGGCGGTCACTGCGCCTCCGACCCTCACGCTGTGCTCCCTTCACTCTGGTGAGAGTCATTAACTGGTCTCTGTCTTCAAGGATGAAGGCTCCACCTCATTGTCCTTGTGCCTCCAGGACCCAGAGCAGCCCGTGACACGTAGCAGGCATCCTGGTGTCTGGAAAAGAGAAGGAGTAGGTGACAAGGACAGGAGACAGGGACTCCTTGGGTTGAAAATTGGATCAATACCAATAGTCACACCCAGTGTGGGAAGGCTTAGTTTTCCAGAGCCTTCTGAATCTTCTGGAATGCCAAGAGCTATGGTGATATTCTTATTTACCTTGGCTTGCCTTTCCTTCCTCTGGATTCCTCCTGTCTTAAACACGGGCAGCCCATCAGAGTTTTCTTCCCTGGGCCTCAGTTTCTTACTGTAAGGAATGAGGATGATGACACCCAGCTTGCACAACTGCTTTGAGGATTGTGTGAAATTATGTGTAATATCTCACATTCGGCAGCTGCTCAGCTTATGTGAATCTCCCTCACCTTGTTGTTACCAGCGAGTCGGCTTCTAGCATTGTCTTCTCTTTCAATGTTTTAAAATGTGCTACTTCCAATATGCAGTCTGGGTTGGGAGACAAGACACTCAAACTTGTTAGAGACATACGTAAACCAAGAGCAGAGAGGCTCAGAGCACAGGTGAGAGCAGGCCCCGTGGGTGACGTTTTTCCTGGGTGATCAGAGGCGTCAGCCTGCTGCTTGGAGTTGCAAGTATTAGGGTTCCTGGTGTGCTGCTTGAGTTCCTTACTTGGGAAATGCTGTGTGTCTCCTCCCTTTCCTGCCACTTAGAACGTCATCTGGGCCAGATGGCAGCCTGTCTTGGTCCCCATTGTAGCCCTAGCACCTAGAAGAATCCCAGATTTGCTGCACCCCTAATGAATGATAGAGAGGACAGGCCAGAGGGCTGGGAGGGAGGGAGGAAGGAGAGGAGGGAGAGGAGGGAGGGTGGAAGGGAGGGAGGGAGGGAGACAAGAGAACCCTAGGTTCATCTATAGCAAAACGTGGTACTTTCCCCTTTTCTGGTCTGAAACCCTATAAACGTTCATCTGATTTGCCAAACCATCGTTAGGAGTTCTGGAGCCTGAGTCATGCTTTGCCCGAAACCTCTAACCACAATTTCAGAAGCATTTATCGATAGCTCCTGTTTTGAAAAGTGTATTAGTCTGTTTTGTGTTGCTGTGGAAGATTACCTAAGATTGGGCTGTTGATAAAGAAAAGAGGTTCATTTGACTCGTGGTTCTGCAGACTGTGCAGGAAGCGTGGCGCCAGCATCTGCTTCTGGGGAGGGCTTCAGGAAGCTTCCAAACATGGTGGAAGGCAGAGGGGGAGCAGATGTGTCACATGGGGAAAGGAGGAGGTGAGAGAGAGGGGGCTGCCAGTCTCTTGCAAGCAACCAATTCTCACTTGAACAATGG